TTCCATATTGCCAGTGGGTTTATTGTAGCCCATATAGGATTAATACTGAAAAGGCTCCATGAGGGAACTTTATATGAGGAGCTTGGAAGATGTTTTAAACTGGCAGGGCTTAGAATGCGGCTGCAATGTAAAATCTGAAGATGGGAAACGGATGTAACTCTGGTAGTGTGAAATGGTTGAGATTAGGAGAAGGGGCTAAGTGGCAAAGTACTACATACAAATAGAATTAAACAGAATAGTTCTGTTAGTTTAAACATTTATTTCATAAAAGGCCCTTGTATAATAGAAGTGGTTCTGATACATAGTAATTTTGATAAATATACCCAGAAAAAGGCCTACATGTATTTTCACAGCAAGCTAAAATTTGTAAATTCTGATTTAAAACTTTTGTGATAATTAAAATTGGAAAGGCTAATAATTAAAAGACACCAGGAAAATACAAAGGCACATAGAACCATTTCCAGGGGATGATAAACCTGTTACAGTGAGGTTTTGAACAGCCACTGTTTTGGCTAAGCAGGGTTGATGGGTACGGTACAGGTACATGCTTATTGCCTAAATGGGAAAGGGGGAGATATGAAATTGCAATACACTGTTCACTTCTTAAAAGCATGCAATATAGTTATAAACTTTCCTCGTGCCCTAGACTGTAGTTTTTCCAAACGGTAACTATTTTATGGTACAATTTGTCAGGTCAGTGCTAAAAGGTCAATGCAGCAAAAATAAAATTTGTGAAAATACTTTCAGGGTCTTACTCTGAGCATGAAGGAAATGCATTGAAAAACACAAAACATTTGTTTTACTTTTATTAAACTTTTTTTTTGGACCAACATATTTAAATATTAGGAAATTTTCTTGCTTAATTTCAGGTTTAAAATAGTATTTTTCGGTAAGGACCATTAAATGCAATTTTTCAGTAAGGACCATTTAGCACCGACAGGACAAATTACAGTTTTTGAAGTATCATACATGTACATGTGTAGCATCGTGATAATGTTATGACTTTATTTTGGGGAGACAGGTTGGCACAATGATACTTTCCTTGCCCTCCACCTCAGTGTTCCACCTCTGCGATCCACAATCAAATCTTGCCCAAACCGACGTGTGGATTGAGTTTTGGCCCCTACTTGATTCCTTGGGTTTCTCTATGATTATTTACCTGGAGTTTTCTTCCCACCTTTAAAAACTTCACATTATTCCCCCCCCCCAAGATGGGTGAAAAAAGTAATGCATGTACACATCACTACAGTGCCATCAGCTGATAATGACGGCCCATTGAAAATCATCCCATAGAGTTTACATGTACAAATTGTACAATGAATAAATAAAGTTACCGTTATTCTTTTATTTTTAGTCATCCAATGAACATTCAGCACTTATTGGGAGGTTGTGGGCCTTGGTGGGATTCGAACCTGGGCCGCTGAGGTGGAAGACAAGGAAAAAGCTGCTATGCAAACCTGACTCCCAGAAAGTGAATTTAAAGCAAGAAATTTGCGCAAATATGAGAGAGAATGGTTGTTGAAATGCAATATGACCAAGTTACGTTAAACAGGAAAATATCCTTTTCAGTAATGAATTTGGATGAAAGTACTGTGGAAAGAGTTTCCATACACTGATACATCGCTAATTTCTGCCTGCAATGGAACATGTTTGTAAATGTGACAATTGGGAAGCAGTACGGTCCTAAAAATTCAAATTTAGCAGGGAAAACAATGAAGAGTTTTACTGCTTAGAATTTCCTGGCCCTGCCTCATAGGGTTTGTATATAGGGTGTCAAGTGATGGCTGTGTATGGAACTTTTTCCCACTAATATACAAACACATATAGAATTGCTCCATCATAGGGTGGCAGGGGCGTAAATCTGTGGGGTGAGGGGGAGTGCAGTTGAACCTCGTTAATACGAGGCCCTTCAGAGTTAGCAGATTAACTTGTTATAACATGAACCTTGTACTATCAGGAAAGAAAACAATGAAGAATGATTGGGACCTAAAATTTTCCTTGTTAAAAGCAAAATGTTGTATTTACAATGTTCTTATTAACAGGGTTTGAATGTATCTTGCCCTCCATCTTGTTTCTCTCCTTGTTGTAGGAGGCGAGGGTGCTCTTCTCATCAGCACCATTGTCTGGTTCTCCTAGGCCATATGCACAGCTTTCATATGAGGTCTGGGGAAGGAATCAATCACAAAAGAATGAGCTCAGCTACAGTGGGAACAGACGTTTCTGAGAAAAAATACACATCTTTTATGGGTATGAGGCCTGAGCAGGTCCAAGAGAAGGCGCAGTTTTCCTTGCAAAGCAGGTTCCTTTGGTGGGAACTGCACTTTGCTGGCTTACAAACAAATATGAAATGCACGTTACAATTGCATTGCTACCAACAAAGTGAGCACTTCCCACCAGCATGGCTCTTTTCAGCTGATGCGGGGGTGCTTCTGCTCAAGGCGGATAGGTCAAAGTTCACCAACAGAATCTGTGTCCTTTTGTATTCAAATGACCACATCTTTATCAGTATTGGGGTCACTGTTAACCACTAGCTGCCGGGTGGATTTTTCTTGAGCAAGACAAGACGCCGGCTCATTTTCAAGATTTTCCGTTTTCAAAATTCTTCAAAAATTCATTATTTCATTTAATTGCCGTTTATACCAATACGAAGGACTCTTTGGGCACTACTCTAAAGCTGACAAGTAAAATTTATTCACTCCTGAATATTTCAGCCAGGCCTGCAGCCTTGGAAAAAGAGCCCAGATTGTGCGGTGTTACGTAAAATTCTTTTGTTCCCGAAACTGGCACAGTGCACTGCTGACCTCTTTTCAATTGGGGCCAGATTAGCGTGCAGCAGTGCTGTGTGGCTCATCGCTGCGGTGGTGGAGAGCTTTTGTCCCTGGAGGTAATCCGCTCGCTCTAACTGCCTCAAACCGTGGTATACTGTTTCAAAACAAGGCTGGATTATCTCCACTATTGAGAGCAAAAAAGTGTCGGTGATGCCCAGCTGCTCAGTCTTTTGTGCTGAGCACGGTCTTTTGTTATAAGACCCAACTCTTTTGTCCCAGTTCCAGGCTCCCCGGCTCTGCATATAAAGCCTATGTACTCGAAAACGGGTCGCCCAGCAGCGAGTGGTTAAAAGTGAGATGTCAAGGAGGAAAAACCTGTTCAATCTGACTTGAATAATTTCTGAAATCCGTCATTCTGGCAAGCTGTCTTTATAAAGAAACAATGAAAGAAGGTCGTTTCCAAAGACTGAGTGTTTAAGTATGTATTTTGAAAGTTTCCAGTTGAAACGTGTGCAAGCATTGTGACATGACTCACGTTACTTAATGTACAATTCATTGGTTCAGTGCATGACATCGCACAGCTGCACTTGATTGAATATGAGAATGCATCCTGGCCGTTGAATGCAGGTGCAATCTAACACATCACACGGCAAATCATGATCCTACAATGTTGTTTTTCCTGGAATATACATCATTTACTGAGCAGAAACTTCAGGTTTGTTCTAAGGCACCCTTTACATTTTTGAGTACTTTTCTTGCCTGAAAGGAACATAATCCACAAAGGATCGGACAAATGATGGACTGTACCTTTAAATGTACCGGTAGGGTTCCCCCCCAAAAAGGTGATACATTTCTGTGATGTGTCTATTAATTATTTACTGGCCAAAAGCTGACATAAATAACATGACACTCTTACCGTCTACCATTCATGATGTAAGGCCTGCGTTTTCAACATCAGAGATGTCATCGCTGGTCATTCCAGTCACACCAGAATGCGGGATATGTTAGCGAGCCTCAGCAGTACCGGTGCATTCACCTGACAACAGGAAAAAGTCAACATCATGACAAGTAAAGATAACATTTTTTAAATGAAACGCTTTTGAGTGAAGGTTTCCAAAAAAGAGCAGATCCAGAATCGAACTTTATTGGGGGGCAACTGTTTGAAACTTATATATATTTACAACAAAATGACTCAAAAGATACCAAGAAGTGAAATATTGGTCTTATATCTTATTTGGCTTTGTGTCAAGATTTTATACTCAAATTATCAGTTTTTTCAATACTGGTGCTACAGGTGAGATGTCAGGAATCTAATGACGTTCTTACCTGCTACCATTCATGACATAGCTAGCATGCATTTGCAGAATTGAAGATTTCATCCCTGGTCAGTCTACTCACTCCATGACGTGGGATAAGTTAGCCAGCCTCGGCATGGGCATCCATTGCAGTACATTACATCTGTCAACAAGGCATTTCCATATCTAACAATCACCAAAATGACAAGATAACCTAAATGAGTTTGAAAGTTTCAAGTATAACAGGATAAATCAAGACCTTTGGGGGTGTCTTTGCTGGTTTGGGAAGGGGTACAAGTTTTCCAAATGTTTGCGGTCATGTGGCCATTTATGGCCTTTCTGTGGACCGTCATGTGGCCATTTATGGCCTTTCTGTGGACCGTCATGTGGCCATTTATGGCCTTTCTGTGGACCAAGACTACATTCTGGGACTTTTTTACGCACGGGGAAAGAGAACTAAAGACAGAGCCAAGAAAATAACCTTCAATTACTTAACATATTTTGGCTCCTTTTTTACCGGGGGGGGGGGGGACAGGGCTGTTGCGCTTCACCCCAGGATCTACAACTGGAAATGTAATGTAAGTGTCTAAGACAAAACTACACCACTGCCTGGTAAACAGAGAGTAACAGCGTGGGTCTATCTAAAGGCTCTGGTAACGTGCACAGGTACAGTATGTGCAAATGCTGTATGTATGATGGCAGCCATGTTGAAGGTCATGATTCAACGACCCCACCAATGGCTGTGAAATGCAAACTGTTGCATCACGCTGGCACGGCACAAGTTGCAACGTGACTTTCCTGCACGTAAACAATCACATGACTTGACGCTGGGCATGCAGGCCCCAGGCCAGTCCAGCAGTAACTCCAATGCTACCGATCCCGTGCAGTGCATTGGGTGTACTAGTCTGACGCACTCTGTTGCACTGGGCAATCAACAGCAGACGACCTACCAGTAACTGGCCATAACA